TCTCTCTCTCTCTCTCTCTCTCTCTCTCTCTCTCTCTCTCTCACACACACACACACACACACACACACAGATACCCACACATCCACGTATGACTCAAGGAAGAGGGGGAAAACTTCCAGGTCTGTTTTGTCTACCTAGAGAACTTATCTACTCTAAGCCCCTTCCCTGAGTCCCAACTGCTCGGTTCTCAACTCCTCCACCTCTTTCACAACATCCAGCTGGGACGCTGTGACCTGTGTTCCTTTCTTCTTCATTGCTTTTTCTTCCTGGACCACACTCAAAGCCAGAGGGAAATGGAAGCACCTCCCAACAGGTGGTGCCAGACCCTAGAAGAGCATATTATCACTTGGCTCTATCAGGCTGCTCTCCCTGACAAAGAACCCTCCATCATTTGCTTACAGGCTGCACAGAGTCCAGGAGCTTGGTGAGCTGGTAGAAGCGCCTTGAGCAGGATGTGGGATTTTTTCTCTTGCATGCAATGATACGATCAAGTTCCTTGATGTAGTTCATTCGAAGTTCATCAAAGAATTTTTGATTTTTCAGCCCATCCACTGGAACTGATGTGGGATGAAGACAGAATGGGGAGGGGAAGCATGCCCACGAAGGAGCATTAGACAAAGCACCAAGTTTTCTGACCACAAATTTGACCCCCACCCCCACAGGGAGGGAGCCATCTACTTGGCTTCCTGTCACTTGACATCTATATGCCTGGGGCTTCAGGAACTCTGACAGGAAGGTCTTAGGAAAAAGAATAGCCAGACCTAGTCTGTAGGGCATCAAGTAAACAAAATTTACTGAGCCTTTCTTTTTTCTAGTTTCCTAATCTACACATTTCATAGGACCTACAGTTTTATGCTGTCCACAGTCCAGCTATAATTTAGACAATTAAAACACCTGGCTTTGAATATTAAATTTTGCCTCCTTTCTCCCTCACAGAGGCTAAGGCAGCACTCTGCTTAGAAGAGACATTAAAGAAATATTCCTTGGCCACCAAATAAGCCCTCTCTGAGTTGCTTACATAGACCATCTTCTGTTGGCAGAAGAGGAAATTCCTTCTGGGAGGCAATCCCTTCTGCTCTACAAGAAATATAAGTTAGTCCTTGCCTGATTCTACGGTAGAAGCTGTGTACAAATTCAGAGACCTGTTACAACCAGCCGAAAAGGCCCTAACCTAGAGAGAGAGAATCGGGGTAAGTGGGGATCTAATGGATGTTGAATTCTAACAAATTAATTGGTCTCTAGCCATTAAATTCATCCTTGTTAGGGAAAAGAATGCTAAGGGAGAGTGGAGGAGGGAGGATGAAAGAAGAAGGGAAATGTTCAGGAGCTGGCTTCTTCCTGATAATTCTTTAATGAAAAAAGCAGCTCCCCTCTGATCCCCTATGCCCCCAGGGGCATTCCTTGCCCTTTCAGGCACTTACTAATGCTGAAGAGAAGCAGTGCCTTCATGCACAGAAATTCCTGGGGGGTGATCTGGAGCCATCCAAATTCTTGAGAGAGGTGCCTCATTCGGACACACTGGCTGTACATCCGGGACTTGTGCATGCGGTACCTGGGAAGGAGACAACACAAAGAAAAGAGAGTAGTAAGGGAAGGCTTAAAAGAAGCCTAGAGAGAATGTCTCTGGTTGTCTTATCCTCTCTAGGTTCTCCAAAAAGAGTTGTTTCTCCAAGAAGAGCTGTTTCTCTTTCTGGTGCTTCAGTGACACAGAACAAGCTTGTTCTTTTTTTATATCCAAAATCCTGACATCCTGATGACTACTCATCTTCCCTGGCTAGGATATGGGTTAGCACATGGAATTTCCAGGTCCCTGTGCCCCTCCTGCTTCCTGAGTCAGGGACAGGAAAGCCTAATGAATTTAATACAATAGGCCAGGCACATGGTCTCCCTGACTACAGTTCTAATATCCCAGCTATGGCTAAAGCCAGAACCTGCCTCCCAGACATTCCATCTTGGAGGATTTCTAGGAGACAGGCCTTAGAAATCAACTCTTAACTTAAGGACACCAGGATTCTCAAATGACCACACTTCCCATACTAGAAATTTAATCATTTCTTTAAGAACTCCCAGGGAAGGCAATTCCCTATTGTATCTTTAAAGGCGTTTCAATGCTTATCAAATCAGTCAGAAAGTGTTTCTGAACGCCCAATCTAAATGTCCCCTGCTGAAAGGGAACCTACTCCCTCATATACTGGCTTCTCCTTACCACAGTTTGGGAGTTATAAACATGTGTGAGCTGCTTTTACTATGGTAACTTGTGAACAGATCATCACATTATCACCTATAAATTATATAGGGAAGTGGCCAAGGCTCGGACAGCTTCTTGGTGGAGAGCAACCTCTCTGTTCCATGACTGGCCATGACAAGCCTCTAAGACAAGATACATCATCCTTCTGCTAGTAGACCTTCTTGGTTTTCAGCATTTCAGGAACTCTGTGTGTGTGTGTGGAGGCGGGGGAGAGAGAGAGAGAGAGAAACTGATTTTATAGCTTGTGAAGAAAGGAAAGGGAATTTGACACCCACTTAAGTGGTAAGGAAAAAGACCCCACAGATTGGGTCCAAAGCCTACGGTTTGACATTTTGGTCCCCAAACTAATAGCCTTGTTCACAGGCTGAGCAGGCCTGGTACTGGCTAAGTGGAAGCTCAGCATCCTATCTCAGAGCGATCTTGGCTGGCCTGGAAAGAGGGAAGGGAAGGGGGCAGATGGTGTAGAAGTATTCAATACAGGCTGGAGCCCAATTAGAAAAAGGAAGTGTCAAGATAGTATCACAAGTCAATTGACCAGAACAGTGCTGCTCTTTTACCCTAGAGCAGTTCTAAATAAGATCTGCTGAGTCTTGGGGACTGGCCTTGCTCTGATCTCTACCGTGCTTGTAAGACTCTGTTAATGACAACACTGCAGTGTTTTTACCATTGAAATCAGAATCCTCACATGGAGGATTGCTGTAACACTCCTACAGACCCCAGGGATGGAGAAGGTGGGGAGAGGAGAGGAGAACAATAAGGGAAAGAATTCGCAGGGTAAGAGAAAAAGATCCGAAGAGAAAGGGCAAATAGAGTAGGGACATAGCTAAAGGAAAGAAAAGGAGAAGAGAGTGGAAGGTAGAAAATGAGTGGGAATGGAATTCAGGAGGAGAGCAGAGGTAGTTAGGAATAAAAGAGAGTGGATAAGGGGAGGGGGATGAACATTGGAAAAATTGAGCATGGTGCTTGACACATAGTAATTGCTCAAAAAATGACATGTTGGATGGTGCCATTATGATACTCTTCACCATTCTCCACTTGAGGAGAATAAGGTTCAGAGAAGTTCAGGAATTTACCCAAGGTTACACAGCTAAGATTCAAGCCCATTACCTTCACAAACTGTTCTCCCCAAAGAGGGAAAGAGGAAAGAAGAAAGCATGGTTAATGACAAGGTTTGGTGTCAGAGAGATCAGCAAATGAGTTGGCCCAGAGTCCCTGTCTCTCTCTTTGGGCCTCAGTTTCCCCACTGGTACCTTGAGGAGGCTAGCAGCAATTAGTGGCTTTCAACTGAGAGGTACTGCTCCCTTAGTGGATGCTAGAGATGTGTGGAGGCAGTTTGGACTGTCACAGTGACTGGGATTCTATTTGGTATTTAGTGGGAAGGTGCAAGGTTTGCTAAACATATTCTAGTATGTGGGCACGTCCTACTCATTGAAAAACTATTCTTCTGAAAATGTCAACATTATCCCTATTGAGAAACATAGGTTTAGGTGATTTTAGGGACTCTAAGAGCTCTAACACAGTGGATTCCTACAAGAGGAAGGAAGAGGGGGCCTATTGATTCAGGTGCCCTATAGGACTTGATGTAGGATCCTGACCCTGTGGGGAATCCTGTGGTACTTTTGAATAAGGTACATGGGAGTGGACCAGAAAGCTGAGGTGAGGTGCCACATACTTACACAGAGGTGGAAAAGAAAATGAAGATTTAGAAAACAGCCACTTGTCACCTTGCAAAGGTTCAACAGTCTTAGGGCTCTAGAGGGGTAAGGTTGTGCAGGGGCCTGGGAGCTGATTCAATCACTGAGTGCAGCAAGAGGGTGGGGTGAGAGATGAACAGGAAGGGGGCTTTTTAAGGCCTGCCCCAGAAGATGGCATCATAGGTAACTCTTTCGAGATCTGGAAACCACAAAGCAGGTCTAGCCAAAAGCTCAATGGTTATTCTTAGCTGCTGGCTACCAGGGCTGGCTGAATTGTAAGAGGGCAGCTGGGGACGCTTATTATCCCCCATATGGCACTGCTGTACTGGAAGGAACCACTGGCCTGTAGATTTTATTTTAAGGCTCTTCTGGGTTAGAGGACTGGAGGGGAGGGAAGGTCAATTCCTTCCCTGACCAAAGGGATTCTCTGTGGTGATACTAGCTCAAGGTTCTTGGGTGGATTTTTCTGGCCAGTTTTATTCACCATGCCACAAGGGACATCAAACAGCAGACATAGAAAAGATTATCACTGCTAGGAAAAGAGTATTTGAAAGATACTTTTTTTTATTCCTTGCCCATTATGGGCCTGACATTTGACATCCATCAGCTTCCATTTTAGTCATCATAACAAACCATTTAAGAAGGTCTTATTTTATTAACAGATGAGGAAACTGAGGGTCAAGGAAGTTAAGGGTCTTGCCCAAAGACACCAATGTAGGAAATAACAAAACAGAGGTTTTAGTTGAGAAAAGTATAATTTCAAAATCTGAACTGTTGGCCAAATTTGTGAAGGATAAATAGAGCTGGTGGCAGGGTGAGCATTATTTTAATCTGTTTTTAAGAGAAGAGAAGTGACTGGGCCAAGGTCACATGGCCAGAGAATGGTGGAGCTGCTCCTCCTCATCACTTACCACCATGAGGCAGTATAAGAGCTGAGAGTACATAGACAGACTTTGGATTCCATTGCCAACATGCATTAGCTGTGTGATGTTGGGTGAGTCACTTTATTTTGTTGAGGCTAATTTTCCACATCCATTTAAAAAATTAGAAAGGGGAAATCAAGATATCATGAGGGCTCAATACGAAAGGATTAGAAAATGTCTATGTAGTCCTGGCACAAACACCTTGCATCTTGAGTGGAAAAGTCATGGCGACACCACCAACCCCCCCTTCCCTTCCACCAACTGGACTTTCAGCGAGGCAAAGATATCTCAGATTGAGCAGGTTGGCTGGGCCTCTACTGCCTCACCTAAAGGTCAAATGGGCTAACTCTCACTGTTACTCCCATTACCATCATCACCACCAACCAGATCTGGCAAGTATACTGTGCCTATGTGAGGTTTGGGCTCATGAACACTTACTCATTGAAAACCAGGTCAGGGGCGAAGTAGAGCATCCTGGAGTTGACATTGGTGAAGGACCTCCAGCCCATGGCAAACACCATAAGCCCCATCCAGGAGTACTGAATGACTGCCATCTGATCATCCACGTGCAAGTTGCGGAAGCCTGGAGGTAAGGCAGAGGGAATGGTCAGACTAGGCACTGATGTGCTAAGTGAAGTCTGGGACTCTGCTGAACTGAGAATCTCTGGCACTCAGGCTGCCACTGAGGAGCCCCAGGGACCATCAATGCTCGGGAGTTGGGGAGAGCAAACTATATGGCGGAGATAATATTCCTTGTTTTCCCTACTTCACTGAGCTGCTCAAAGGAGATGGTGATGGAGGCAAAAAGTGCACTGACAGTTGGAAGAGAATAATAATCTAACACTTAACTGACTATTTACAATGAATGAGCTCTAAGTACTTTACTTATAGTAACTCATTTAATCCCCACAACAATCCAATAAAGTGGGTACTATTATCATTCCCATTCTGTGAGTCAGTAAAAGTGAGCCACAAAAAAGTTAAGTAACTTGTCCAATATGATATGGCAGACCAAGTTCCCAGCCAGGCAGTCTGATTCCAAAGCCTGTGTTCTTGATCTTCAGACAGGCTCACTGCCTTTCTGAAGATGCAATGTGATGATCATTTCTCCTACATGAACAGCACGTTTCATTCTACAAAGCCCTATTCTAGCTATAATCTGGTTTGTCCCTTCTAACAACCGTGGGAAGGGGATATTATTACATATCAGCATATGATGGAATGTCTTTGACAGTCATGCCTTATCCACACCACCTTCAGACTCCCTCTCTCTTCTTTGACTCTCTTCCTGCTTCCTACTTCCCCTCCATTATTTTATATTCAACAAGTGCCTGGCTCTGCTTGTTTCCTACTTGACTGCCATTCATGCCCTACTGCCATCATTATACACAAACAGGCCCTTTATGACCTGCCTTCTTAGACTCAGTTCTTGCCATTTGTCTTCTTGTAATTTAGGTTCTAGCTATTCTGAAAAACCCACAGTTTGCTGAATACACTCTGCTTTTTCATGCCTCTATATCTCTGCTATCTGTGCACAGGTAGTTGTCTTTGCCTAGAATGCATTCCTCCCTCCCCAAGTTTTCCATATGATAAATACCTACTACTCATCTTTCAAGTCTTCACTGAAAGGCTACCTTCTTCGTGAAGCCTTTTCTCACTCACTCAAGCAGAAGACCTAATGATTCTTCTTTTACTTTCTTACTGAATCTTATGTAGGCCCATCCAATTACAGCACTCATTACACTGTACTGGAGTTTATCAATGTATCCATCTGTCTCCCCAACAAGACTTAGAGCTTTTTGAAGACAGGGATCATTCCCTTCTTATTCTTCTTTTCCTCCCTAGTATATAGCACAGTTCAGATGTTTAAATAAGCATTTGAGAAATATTAATTAAATGGACTAAAGACCCTCATTTTTTCATTTTATAAAAATGGGAATTACAGATGATTTCCACTTTATCTCCCTTAAGCTCAGAGGACAGAGACTCCTGGATGCTACCTCCACAATACCACATAGGTAGAACAGATGTGGGTATGCTTTCCTGGAGGTTTCCAAATAGTTGGATGCTTAAAGCATCACCTTAGAGCTCATCCCCCACCAGTAACCCATTTCTATTCTCCCTAACAGATCCAGAATTATCTGAAATTTTGTCTGGCTATACTTCAGTAGGAATGCTTACATGAATTTAGATAATGCTTCTAACTTTTCTGATGATAACATAATTTAACCCTCACAATTACCCTAGAGGGTGGGCAATGTGGCACTTATTTTGCCAACAGGGAATCTGAGGGCAAGAGAAGTTAAATGACTTCCCTAAGGTCATATAGCTTATGTGTGGCCAAAATGGGACTAGAACCCAGGTGCTCTAATTCCCTTCTTCAGTGCTTTGCCCATGCTACTGCTGAAGGACACAGCTCAAGAACTACCAAGGTCACAAGCTTTTCACATCCATAAGCTCAGGTCTGAAGTCTACACTATCTATACACACTGTTCTGCCACCCACCCACATCCTATTTCCCTTTTTTCCCCCTTTAGGTTCCAAGGCTATCAGATATCAGGGATTCTAGAGTCCCTCACACCAACACCCTTGACTGCAATCTTAGCTCTGAGGCCTGTGTCTCCCATCTTCATAGTGATATGCTAATAGACTAGCTGGAGCCTCAGACCCCAGAGTATTTCCTGCCTGAAGCTCTTCTGTAGCACAGAATGTCTGAGGCTGACTCTTCCCAGTAGCAGACAAAAAGCAGAGCTTCAAGCATCAAACATCCAAGGATCTCTTTAGGAAAGGGTCCGGGAACCTGAATCCTGAACCCCTGGGTTGGGAGGCAATGGGAAGCAAGGAAAGCCTTGCTTAGTAAGTGTATGGATGTGAGGGTACATGGGAGGGATGAAGATTAAATTGTACAAGCACCAAGGAAGTCGTCAATACTGAGGGATTTTTTTCCTCTCCCTGAGATGCCAGAGAACTAACAAAGAGGAGAAAAATGGGAAAGCTTAGTTTGGCTGTAATACTAATTAACAGTCCTTAGTGAGAGCTGCTTAATACTCATATGCATAATCACTGCATACACAGCAACATAGCAGGCTAATTTTTCTCTAGGTCTAATCTGATTACAATATCTAACTCTGTTCTTTAATTCCTAGCCTTTGAAGTAGCCTGCTTAGATGGCTTGGCTATCAAGGGATGATTTAAGGAAACAGTGCCTCCAACCTGCAGGTTTCCTTCAACATACATTCACTCAACAACAATTTGGCATTGTATTAGGCTGTTTCAGAGAAATAGAGAGGAGTCATTTTCAGGTTCTGAAATACACCAAACAGGTTAGGGAGCAGAGGCAGTTTCTTTGAGACTCTGTTTTCTTGCTAGAATCCAATCAACATCATTTCTTAGCAATCTTCAAAGGAAACCTGTAGTCACCACTACTAGATGACTAGTCTGGGGGACCACACCCAAAGAAAGGTCAGTTAGGAAATAGCTGCTGCTTCAGTGCACTTAACAGCCAGTCTACAAAGAAGGGAGTTCATCTTTGGGACCCATGAATAGCTTCTAGGCAAACCTGGTGGCAGCTTACATTGATTTTAGTGAAAGCAGTGGCTTAGCACTCAAGATTTATAATAAGACCCACCATTTACAGAGCATTTCCTATGTTTCAGCTATTGTACTAAATGCTCTTTATACATAATTTCTATGTTTATAACAATCTGCAAGGTAGCAATTATTCTACCATCTCTATAAATGGGGAAACAGAAGTACATATGATCTGCTCAAGGTCACACAATTAGTATAAAGCTAAGATTCCAAACCAGATACATCTGATTATAAATATACTGTGTACACACAATTTACTAGGCTTCCTCAGTCAGTAGTTATCATATAGTCATATACCAGTGATATACTAGGCAATTTACATATATTATCACCATCATAGAAAACTAAAACAAAATTTATCTGAGTTGGTACCTAGCACAGTGCCTCTCAAAGAACAGGAACTCAATCCGTTCAATGAGCAAATAGCTTGAATTAGTAGGTGATTATTGATAATATGAATAACAGTTCTAATGAATGAGCTAAATGGCTTTATTTTGAAGCTATTCCTTTAGATGTCTCAGGGTCAGAGATCACTTCCTTGGACAAGCTAGATGGTGAACTGACATTAACCTGCAGACTTGTTAATGTAAAGGGAGGGCTTCTGCTTCCCATACTGGAGGTTTGGCTGAAGAAAGCAAGTGACTCCCAGTTTTGCAAATTTTGCCATAATGATTTGCACTACATTATTGTTAAATACATGAAATTAAAAATCAGAGGGTATGAGAAATCTGGGTGCATTTGTTAAGTGAAAAAGTAAAACAAGTTAATTAATATCTCTGAGTATTGTCATTTGAAATGGAAGTAAAAGTCCTTATGATTCATTGGACTGCTATGAGGATTAACTGGAGTCATATATATGAAAATGTTATGTATCCTGTAAAATGGAACAATTTAGGTGTTTGGCATCTGCTTAGAAAGATAAAACTGGATCTCTGTTACACACAAGACACCAGGAAACCCAGCTGAATTAGTAATAAAAATTAAAGTCACTCTTTCTTTTCTTTCTCTCTCTTCTTTATTTTTTAAAAATTCTTTCTTCCCTGTGTGAACTCTGTTTTTGGCACAGTGCATACACAGCTAGAGTCCTTGGGCCTTCTCCCCAGGGATCTTGTCTAGTCAACCTCAACTTTCCAAGCTAGGAAGGTGTTAGGGACAGTCTGGTGGCTGTAACTGAGCCTTGTGAGTTGGAAAGACAAAAAGGGGGTGTGGTGCTCAACATGCAATGTCTTTCAAAGCAGCAAGTGCACATTATGACCCAACTGGCCCTGGATGAGGCCTTTGCCCCTCATTGTAACGCCCAGGGCTAGAGAACCATAAGGACACAGCATAGACTATGGGTAGAGTTGGATGAGGAGAGGATTTGGAATTAGGAGGGGACCTGGGTTCAAGCTCTGGCCCTGATACCTTCTGAATATGTAACTGCAGGACAAGCACATCACCTCTCAGAAATTCAGTGTCTTTATCTATAAAATAGGGAAAAGAATCCCTAATTTACAGGATTCTTATGGGGATCAAATTAGGTAGCACATATGAAACTGCTCTGTTTACTATAAATTTACATCTAAATGGCAGTTATTATTCGAAGGCAGGTTAATCTTTGGCTCCCCAACCAAAAAGAGGTTTGATTGTTGATGTTTCAAAAAAAAATATTTCAATCACAGAATTTTAGGATTGAGAAAATCCTTAAAGAATTTACCCTTCACTTGTTTCCAAACTGCTCCCTGGAGCCCTAAGATTCTGCAAAAGTGACCTGAGGCTTCTCTAGGGGTAGTGAGGGAGAGACACTGGCTTTAAATCAACCAGCTCCACTTAGATCTGTGTACAATGTTGTTGAGAAATAAGGGGTTTGGCTGCTAAAGGAATGTTTGTGAATTGTTGGATAGAGGATCTCTGAGCTTTTTTAAAGCTCTAATATTTGTAATAATCACACCTCTTCCAACAACAAATGGCCTAGGGAACAAGTGAGTTCCCCATCACTGGAGGTATCCATTAAGAAGTTAGACAAATACTTCATATATCTTTCAATATCACCTCATAATTAATTCCTCCCACTATGATCCTAAGGTAGTTTAAAGAGCACCAAGAGTTCCTTGAAGTAAAATTTGAAAACCATCCATTTAATCCAAATCACTCTTCACACATTATACAGATGGAAAAACTGAGACCCAGAAAGGAAGGGATCGTACAGTGAGTTACCAGCAGAGCTAAGACTAGAACCTAAGTGTTCTGACTCCCAACCCTATGTTCTTTCTACCATACCATATCATAAGATTTCCCATGGAATGGCTCCTAAAGTAATATTAAAGACAGAATATCAGTTAGGCTCAAGATTATCTTTGGGGTGAGCTTGTGTGTATACATGTAGAAGAGCATCTTAAGGCATATAAGGGTATGTCTATGAGATCCATGATTATGGGGAAATTTGCTGACTATGTCTGTAGGTTGAACATGAAAACCTGATGGCTGTGTGCTGATGTGAGGTATATGGGATATTCAATAATGCTGGTTTTCTCCTTGATTTCTGAGTTTCCTTATTTTCAATGTGGGGATTACACCAATCTCTCCCTCCACAAAGTTATGATGAGGATTGAGTGAGTTGATAGGCAGGAAAGGAACACGCATGGCCAATAGGAACATTCACTAAATATGACCTCCCTTATCCCACACCCCACTTTCCTTACCAGGCAAGGCCTTGGCCCACTTGACCACATGTACCAGCTGTCTTTCACCCAGTTCATTGAGGCTAGAGAGTAAGGCTGCGAAGGAGTCAGGCTGGTTGTTGTCATGTCCAGCACATACCACGCCTGGCTCAATGGCTTCCAGGACATTCAGAAAGATGGGCTGACACTCATAGCCTTCAATATGTGACACTGTCAGCTTCTGGTTTGGCTCCTCAGTGGGACTGGTGGCGCTGGAAGCCTCCCCTTCCTCCTGTAGTTTCAGATTACCAAGTTTCTTCAGCTTCCGGGCTATTGGGGAAGAAGGAAACTTAGATTTATTATCCATGGCCAGAAACACAGCACAGCTTCCCTGTTAGAAAAGCTGACTGAGCTAAGAAAATAAAGATGTTCATTCTTCCTGGTCACACTCTAACTCCTTAAGGATAAGTGTTCAATTTAAACAGTGGTTGAATGAACGATTTATCATTCTAAATTCCTACTAAACTCAAAATTTTAGATCTTGCTTTTTCCTTGATCCCCTTGCCAGACAGATCTAGTATATCCTTGGCTTGGGCTCTGCCTAAATGTAGTCTTCAGTATTCATAACTTGGAATTTCAACTAAATCATTTACTGATATAGTCATAATTCATTCATTCATTCAACAGACATCTATTATTAGGCCTTTGCTTCTGGATGACCAAAAGAATACAAGCCCTAACCTAGTCTAATAGAGGAGAAATAAATGCTCACTAACAAGTCTAGAAAATGTCAAGCTGGTGAATGTTACAACAGTGGTATTAACAAAGATGAAGACAACAATCTCTGGATAGGTGGGGTCAGGAAATGTTTATGGTAACATTTGACCTGGACCTTGAAGAATAGTAAGGATTTCACCAGGCAGAGAGGGATGGAAAGAGCATAAACAAAAGCACTGAGGGTTTAGGGGAAAAAGTTAAGAGACCAGTGTGGCTGGAGTGTGTAGTGCATGTGTGGGGAGAGTGGCTATTTATGAGGTTGAAAACAAAGATGGAGCCTGACTTTAAAGGAGCATGTGTGTCATAGTAAGAAATTTTGTCTTTACCTCACAGGTGATGGTTAAATATAGAATGTTTTAAATCAATGGAGGGATGTACTTGTGTCTATATCTAGCATGTCTAGCAAATTGCTGTGAAAGAGTAGAATATCAGATCTGTTGGGGGAGGGTATGGCTCAGTGGTACAGTGCATGCTTAGCATGTAAGAGTCTACTAAAAATAAATGCAGGTCTGTTGAAAAAAGGACTAGACTTGTTCTTTGTGCCTCTAGGGCTACCAGAAAGTACAGTGACTTGGATTTTAGTTCTCTCTGTCTGTACACACACACAGTCACACACACACACGCACATACACACACACACACTTTAATAGTTAAAGCTCTCTGAAGATGGAAAGGCTGCTAGGCACTCATGTCATTGGAGGTGATCAAGCAGAGACCAGATACACAATGGTTAAGAATTCAAGCATCAGTGGGGAATGAGTTTTTTAAAATGGCCTTGGATGTCCCTTTCCATCCTCATACTACAAAGTTCCATCATCCCACTTTGGGGTCAATGAATGGGAATTTCCTCCGGTATTGTCATACATTTATGCTCACAAGTGAACATACACCGTAAAATACATACTGATTTTCTTCTTTAGTAGAGGGGAGAGGGGGAAGCTGAAGGGCTGAAATCCCCAATGGTATCCAAGAAATAAGATAATGCCCCTCTATAATCTGTCTTTAGAATGAGAACCATGATAGGAGGTGGCCATTAAAAAGGATGATAGAAATAACATTAAAACAACAATAATCTAAAACTCAAACCTTAAGAACCATTCTCTCCCCATGCTCTCACACACACATTTTAGAGGTCTTTAGATAGCCTGATGTTTACTTTGTGTTATTTTCCTTAGTATTTATATTGTCAGAAATATAAATAATTGAAAAGGTCATAACTCTGAGGTCTAGGATAGGCACTGGGGCAGAACATAAACCACCTTCTCTCTAATCCTTTAAAATAATAATAATAATATATTATATAAATATAAACATTATTATTATTTTAAAAGGAATAAAACAAAGAGAGAAGTTGATTGCTCAATTTTAATGGATAAATACAACAAAACTTGTTGCTGATCTGTTTCTGGCTCCTGCAGAAAAGGATATTTATCTGGAACTGACTTTCAGCTCTAATTAGAAAAATAAGTCCTGTACTGCAAACTCCAATCACAGTGCAACTCAGTAAATCAATGAAAGAATGAATCACATGTCTGGATCAGCAACCAGGGTAGAGGAGGAGAAAATAGAGGGGTTTTGTGGTGCAAGAGGAGCACAGAGAAGAACTCAGGGTAAAATAACAAGGGAGCCTGGAAAATCAACACAGAGTTCAAGATGACCTTGTCCAACAAACATTTCTGCAGAGCTTGGGCACAGTCAGTAATAAGGAGATATGCACACCCACTGTAAACTCCCACCTCCCACCAAGGGCACAAGCTGGAAGGTATGGGCAGGGCTAAGCTCATCTTGTCCCAGAACTAGAGGCTTGGTCCCCACAGTATCTTGTCATCTGGTGAAAACATTGCTGACATGGGTTCTTGTAGGCAGCTCCACAGACTGGCAGTGCCTACTGGATTTGCTTCTCTGGTAGTTTCTAGAGGTAGACCTCCTCTTTTCTATCACTCGTACTTTCTGATCTTGAGTTTAGGAGTTCCCAGACCATGTAGTCCCTCTTTCAGCCTGGGAGAGGACAGGAATATAATTAGCCCTATGCCTGAGGCAACTAAGAAATTTAGGGGTAATTAGTTTTTCTGAGCCTTCTGTATACCTCACTTCATGAACACATTACCTCATTTCATTCCACAATGATCTTAGGAGGTGAGGAATATTTCCTATCTCTTTTTTGCAAGTGAATAAACTGAGGTAACACAGCTATCAAGAAAGAGAACCTATTGATCTTAACATGCTGACTATAAGAACAATGTTCTTTCTACTATATCACGCTGCCTCCTCAAGGAGTTTGAAGCCCTAAACCGTACTTCTAGCCTAATAGCAGAGTTGAGGAGTCAAGCTGGAGTTATATCCTCCCTGTCTTCCACCCTCACCCTTGACTCCAAACTTCAGTAACTAACTTCAAATCCAGAAGGGACAAAAGAGGCAGGAAGCTATGGAAATACTCCAGTCATGCGCCTAAATTAGAAATAGGTTTGGGGAACTAGAGTGGCTTAAAGATTCATAGCATGACAAAACAGGAAGGATCCTTAGAAATCATCTCATCCAGGGAGGTCACAGAATCAATATGACTTCAGTGTCTACACTGGTAATACAGAGTGGTGTGTATGTATGTGTGTGTGTAAGAGTGTGTGTGTGTATATGTGTGTGTGTGTGTGTGTGTGTACATGCATGCGTGTGTGTGTATAGGAGAATGGTGGGAACTCTGGTGAACTGAAGTGAATGCTTTACTGCCTTCCTGCCCCTGTCATGAATGTGCATATGCATGCACACACACACACATTCCTAGAAGGCATTCATATAATATTTTAAAATTTTCCTAAAATTCCTGTGTATTCCAAAGTTGAATTCAGGTCTTAGCCATCATTTTGGTACTTCTGATGTAAATACAACACTTCAAGTCAAAGATGGGGAGGCTGAGGCCAGAGTGAGCGAGGTCACCGAGTCGTAGAGCTGAGACTAGAACCAGGCTTTCTATCCTTAATCTAGAGTTCCCTGTGCTGTATCAGCTCTTTTTGACTAACTCATTTCTATTCTATCACAGTATCTGTCTCTCTGAGATCCTTTTGGATTTGCACTGTCCAACACAGAAGCCACTAGAGACATGTGGTTCCTTAAATTTTAAATTAATTAAATAAAATTACAAATATAATCTCTTCAACTCACTAGCCACAGTTCAAGTGCTCAAAAGCCACATATGGTTTATGACTATGTCGGACAGCACAGATATAGAACATTTCTTCATCTCACAAAGATCTATGGAATAGTGCTGTGAATCTAGACTGTTCTCTGGAGCAGCTGTCCCATTTGTCATGCCTTACTCATGCTATTGATAAAGAAGGAACGAATCCAAATGAATTGTACATAAATGAATCAATGGGCATTTCTACAAGGTGGAAGGACACATAGAATAATTGGTGCTGGTGCAATCAATGAGGTACGCTCTGTCACCTCGACTCTCCCGCCAATGACTCAGAGCTCAGTGGGGTGATGACTCGTGGACCTAAGCAAACACTTTACAAGCAAGATCAATATGTGCAGAGACTGTGGGGAGAATCCACCAGCATAAAATAATTCCCCTTCTCTGCGCAGTGCTAATGAAAACTTGGCTGGTATTTTCACATCCTCCTCCTCTAGACCTATATGGCATCTGCTTGAGGAAGAGAAGCTGCATTCCCACTTGCCTCCAGGACCTGGGTAACGTGCTGTCCCCACAGCCACAGTGGCCCAAGCTGCACCAGGTGTTCTGGCCTCTCTGCTTGAAGAGGGTGACTGTACTGAACATAATTGAAATCAAATTCCATTCATTCTACCGGGGGATCCTCTGTTCTCTCTCTGCAGCAGAGGCCAGCATGTTGCTAGACGACTTGGAATGCTGGACAATGGGGCTTGCTAGTCTCAGCTGTTACTCAAAGCCCAAGGCCTTGTTTTCGTCCATGAAGGCCGCCCCCACACCCCTCCTGTCTCCTGCACCTGAGCCCCAGAGTCAGATCTAACTCTTTCATGTGAGGTACAAGCTTTCCAGCCCCTTGTGTTATGGCAGAGACCCGCCGGTTTGCTCAAATTGAGTGCTGAAGCCAGGAGAAAGGGGACAGTAAAGGTGAATCATTTTAATGGTATGTAAGTTGCTTTGCATCTCTTCTCTGTCTTTCAGGCTTAGGTCAAAGCAGTGACAAGAAAAGAATACTTTATTGTCTGTATTTGATCTTTAGGGGATTGGAGCCCTTGACATAATGCCTGGATCTTGCTGCTTGGATCCTATGGGGAACTCACTTTTCAGCCTGGTAGCTGACTCCTATGAGGGCTATCTCTGTAGCACCAGAGGAAGATTTGTCAAATCAAGTTCAACAGTATATCACCAAGGAGAGGTAGATGTTATGAACCTGTAGCTTCTGCAGCCACTGTGACCCTTAGGCACTGTTCCAGCCTCATTCCTTGCGACTTCAAGATAGAGGCTTTCTCATCCATGGGCAGGGGAGAGGGAAAGTGAAATGAAGTTTCCAAAGTCTTACAAAGTTCAAATTCCTCTCCCTAAGGTCAAGGAGCTTTCTCTTTCCCACATC